CGACACCGCCAAGTCCTTCGTAAGCATACTCTTCCTCCACTCCCTCGCCGTTCTCCCAATCATCGCGCTCCTCGGCGATGCGTGAACGAGCTCGGGATGTAGAGGATGAGATTGTATGCACACGACGAACGGATGCTGCTGCAGATGAGGGGGAGAGAGGGAGAGTTGAGGAGGCTTGATGCATTGCGTGCGTTGAGTGAGGCGGAGGCGTGGGAATTAGAGGCACTGGAATGGACGACATTGCTAATCTTCCTTTTCAATCGAGTAGACAAAGATGTTATCCGTGTGAATATCCGACAAATCAACAAGTTAATCAAGCAATTGATAATGAACTTTTCCACTCGAAGTAATCAAAAGTAAGAGAGAGAAGGAGATGAAAAAGAAATTGAAGAGAGAGGGTTGTCATGCGTTGGTCGTGGGATCCCTTGCCCATTCAATCTCGTGCCCACCCAACAGGGAAATGCGGTGCTAGCTGTGCTCCTTCCTCATCCCTTTTCGTCATCTTTTCCTGCCACGTCCGACAACAAATCTAATAATTTCTCTCTTCTTCATCATACTAGATGTTGTAGCACTAAGTCCGCGTAGCTAAACAATATCTCGCGGTGTGAACACATCACGATTCTACATTTTTTTTTTGGCTCAGAATTAAACTCTTGGCAGGCAAGTCAGCTCATGAAGAAGCGGTGCTCCTGACAGCCTCCCACTGGTCCGGAGGTGAAAGACCCTTTGATCCATCAAGCTTGGTATTGCCAGAGCAGGAAGTGGTAGCACTGAAGAATACTAATGTGCATCACATCAATTTACAAGGTTGTATAATTCAAACTCCCATCACACACAATTCAGGTAGCACATGACATACATGGGGCATAACATCCACAGGCAATACAGATATTTTTATGAGAACACACTCCTTTCCCCTTGGTAGATGTTTGTAGTTGAACTTGTACATAGGGAAAATACAGCAGTCAAACAGAAAATTACATAGGGAGTGTCCATGCACTCAATCAACCAGAGATATGCAGCTGTCACAGGCAGTGTTCCAGAAGTCAATTGCTGTATTCAATGCTGCATTCCTGAAATCTGCCATGGCATAAATGATTGCCCAGGTGACCTCTATCCTATATATAATATCAGAGCAAGCAGCCATACACCTCCTCTCAAACTCAGCAACATCCTCACCCTCCCGGGGCTCATCTCCTCCCAACCAGATAGAAACTTCCACACACGCTTTCGACATGATGAAAGGGAACACAGATGCCTCTATTATGCAGCGCTCAAACCATGTGTTGCTCGGGAGGCTCTGGCAGTGCATACAGATATCAAGCTCAAGGTCTTCACGGTCCCTTGCCAGGTTAGAGATGATATAATCATCTTTCCATTGAGGACGGAACCTTTATTGAAGATTGTGCACGTGGCGATAGTTATACTGATCGTGGGTGACAGCATCGTCTTTGCTGGTAGTCCCAATATCGGTAGCTTGCGCTTTGTTATCCCCATCGAGACGCATATCGTCGTGAGATAAGGTCTGTGGATTCGTTTCTGAAGAGAGGTGTGGGTGTTACCAATGAGAAAGGCTCAGGTATATATATAACGGTGCGAAGAGGACGACGATGACATCCGAGACACATCTTTCTCTTCCGCCGTATCCGCTTCATCCTACACCTGCTGCTACAGGAATATCCAAGTATTCCGTCGCCAAGAAGTCCCGCAAGTATGTCGACACTTTCCTTTTGGTCTAAGAGGTGAAGCGTGGAATAGAGAAGACTAACCCGAGGTGATTGGTTATCGGCTGCTGTGACTCAGTGCGAGACATTGTCAAGACCGTCATCACCAGCAGACAAAGTATTATGACCCCGAAAGAATAGTGTCGTTCGTTCACAAATCACGAAGTAAAAACCTGATAATCGAAGTTTACGCTTTGTCCCCAAAACGCTGGATCACACGCGCCAGCGGCAACAACCCCGGCATCCTGTGGGCCTCCTAGGATCCTTGCGCTGACATCGTTCCCCTGAACCCCCCTCCAGTCCCCTCCTGGCACGCCGTTCAAGAGCCATTGCGCGTACCTCTGCTGCACCTCTCGCGTAAGTGCGTTCTGCGCTCCGTTCGCACTAGGTGTTGTACCGAAAACGGGATAGATGTCGTCTTCGTGGCAGACGGTGCTGCTCGTGTCGGTACAGAAGGAAGCTACGGCAGGGGGCTGCGTATTGTCCGGGTAGAGAGCGCACCGGATTGGAACTCGCCCACGTAGACCTTCGCTCCCCGCGCCGAGTATGCACGTGCAAAGGCGTAATTTGAGCCTGTTCACGCCCATTAGCTACAGAACAACTTGAGAAGACAGAAAAAGACTCACAGCGCCAAACTTGATCCGTGCCAACCTTTACGCTCAAGTTCCGAATATCCCCTCCAGTAGGATCATTCGCGGC